CACAAGGAGGATGTGTATGAGAACCTGCAGAGTAAGAACAGGAGGGAGGAGAAGGTGAAGAAGCAGCGATCAGCGGACAAGGACAAGAGCAAGGGCTCCCTCAAGAGGAAGTGACCTGGGCGTCGTCCTGAGATGGCCATGGTACGGTCCTGCTCAGGGCTCTTCCCTACCTGCCCCCAGTATCCCCTGGGCTCCAGTGCTTCCCCTGATGGATGGGTGGCTGCAGCCTCAACCTGTACTTCCCAGCTGCCCCAGACATGCTCTTGTCCCTCACTCCTCGGGTTCCACCCAGCCCCTTATTCCCTTACTCCCTCCTCTCTCTGCAGCCTCAGCACTGATCCCTGTAGAGGTCTCCAGTGAATGCCAACGGCCTGAACCTGGGAAGTCGCCTGCGCAACTCTATTGTAATTTAAATGATTGTGTCCCCACCTCCTTCTCCCTATTGTATATAGCCCAGCAAGGCTCCAGGCAGGGCCAGACCCTTCTATTCTTGTAAATAAAGCCCCTAGGATCACTATGCGTGTGGGTCTCTAACTCTGTGTGGCCCTGAGGGTGGAGCAGAAGGAGATGCAGGGGGAGGCGGGCAGGGAGTGATATGTGGGGGCTCACGAAAGCTCTCCCTTCTCCGTCACAGACCTGGTTTTGAGCTCTGCTTAACATACTAGGTCTGTGGTCCTGGGCCAGGTTCCTGTCCCTTTCCTTTAAAGTGGAGGATCATCCCAACAGCCTGGTTGTGAAGATCATTGAGATAAGGGATGATGACCTCAGGGGCAACAATAATTTATTACCAGCTTGCCATGTGTCAGCACTGTTTAAAAGACTACATCTATGAGTTCAATCTGGGTGCCTGTATCATTCCCATTTTACAGCAGGGGAAACTGAGGCACAGATAGATTGAATAATTTGCTGAAGGTCACAGGACTATTGAACAGTGAAGCTAAGATTTTAACTCAGGCCCCCAGAACCCTCACCCCTGGAAATGCAGCTGCAGTCACCTGAGGGGGACACAACCACACACTGGTGGGGCTGACTTCTAGGCCTAAGAGCTAAGAAGACATATAAAGCCCGGGAAGCACAGGACTTCCCAGGCTCTCCCTCCCCTCTTTGGGCTCCTGCTGTTCACAGGAACATCCTGCTCCTCCCTTTGCTGAAGCCACTGCTGCCCTTATGCTCCTGGTCAATTTTATTTTTGTCCCCTCTTTCTTCCCCTGTGTCCAGAGTGGACTATTAGTGATTCTTCGTGTTAAGCCTGTGAGAGTCCTACTGGGGATGGACAGGCTCCCAGCTGCTGGGCAGGCTAAGGGCACAGTCCTGTTGCAACATTGACTTCACTGTCATTCATTCAGCATATACTTTCTATAGTGAGTGTCCACTGTGTCACAGGCACTGGAGTTATGCTGGGGGTGCGATGGTGAACAAGACCGTTTCTGTCCTAGTGGAACTTTAGGAGAGTAGTAGGGCAGACAGACGCAGAAACAGTCCACAATCATAAAATAAGTACACACAGGTATTAAGAAGGATGCAAACAGCTGGCGTGAGCTGCCAAGAGCCGCAGTGATCGGCCATCCAGTGGTGGGTGACTGATCTGCCTCACCCGGGAATAGCGCAATGATAACACCAACATGGGCCAGTGAAGCAACGTCCTCCACAACTAGACTGAAGAACAAAAGGACAGCAACTTTGTTCCCCTTCCTGGATTCCCCAACGCTATTCCCCTCCCCCAATTCCCCAATAAAATCTTAAAAAAAAAGAAGGATGCAAACAACAAAACAAAGGGGGGTGGGGTG